GTCTCTGTTTGTGTATACATATTTATTTATTGTGTGTCATCTCTATTTGTTATGAAAGTTTTCTGTACATATTTTAGATAAAGTGCACACTCTATATATATATATATATATACACATATATATATACATATATATGTATATGTATATATATAATAATCAGCTAACACAAGCAACAGGATTTATAGTGAACGGCACGGGCCGCGGGGAACGACGAAGATTCCAAGTATCTTCCATTAACATCGGAGATCGGTAAACGATCGCGAAGAGGGAATCGCGATAAAGCACGGATTTATCACACGATTTACAGTAAGAGCTGTGTCTGCCTGCAGAACTTTTTGGTTATCGCGGAAACGGATATGCACGAGGCGAGGGCGAACGATAAAGTGACAGTGGATGGGGAGCCGCGCAGGCAAACGCGAGTTTAACGATCACGGTGGAACATACGACGGAATCGGTTCGAAATCCTCCAGTAAATGTAATATTTACGTTAAATCGATGGCGAAAACCTCTCGCACTGATATTGTCGGCAGCCCATAGGAGACTGTGAATGGAAGCTATGGACGACAGGAGAGGAATATGACAACAGCGACGGTAACGAAAGTGGCGCCGCGGCGAGACAGCGTTCTATTTGAGAGCATCGAGAGATTAAGGTTATCCCGGATATTGCAGAATTGCACCAATTAAATGAGTAAAGATCGTTGCAATCGACTCGCCTCTTCCTTGCGAGTGATAAAATAATGTCGTTCAGTATGTCAGATATGTCGCGTTTGTTGGAGATACGAAAATATATTGACGAAAATGATTACAGAATCGAGAGACTCACGGGTGAACAATCGTGCGATCGTATACATCGCGTGACATCATCAATACATCGAAGGCATCACTATGCTATAATTACTACATCCGTTAATTTTGTGTACATATTATATACTTACTCACTTTCATTATTTCAGTATTGTAACATGCATAGAAAAAAAACAAAATATTTTATTGTCGATAATTCTATAAATAATTATTTTTACAAAAAATCTTTTTCATTGTTTAGATATAGAAAATAAAAATATATTTTGAAAATAAATTTATAAAGTAATATTCATAGATATGAAATTATAAAAGGGTTAATAAATTTTTATATTTTAGAAATCCTTGGTTTTTGTCTTTTTTTATTTTTATCGAAAACACATTCTGTTATACATAGATTGTTGAAGTATTCCGATAAGTCATATCAAGGTACGGCGAACTTATGTACAAAAGGATTACTTATCTTGTTTTCGGAACATTCTAAGTTGCGATATAACCTAATGCATCTTCGAGGAAAGCAAATCTTTTTTTATCGATGTTTGTAAAGTCAATTCCCAATGCGACACAATAAAACAATTGCATGGATGTACTAGAATTAAAATCTTATCACATAATTACAGTGACAATCGTATTTTTGTGTAAAAATTTTGTGCAAGATCATTTTTTGCTACAAAATTATGTTATTAAAAGTATATTATCGAATTGATACATACATCAATATCAATTAGTAGACATTGATTCAACGACCATTATTATTAATTCTTGCTGAGATGTTATTTATTTTATATAATATACATTAATACATAT